ATGATAAATTACTAATTTACCGAAGAGGAAATTCACACGGAGGAAGGCAGTTATTATAGCTATTTAGGAAATATCCTGTTCACAGAGAGAGTAACAAGCGAGTCTTTATAATTTCCTACAAGCATCGATTCTGATCGTTATTTGTTTTATTATCCCCCGATGTTACGTTCGCGTGTTTTAGTACAACCTGTACAGATTAGACGTGTAATTTAGAACATCTGGTAGTATGTACTAGGTCCACGCGCAAAGCAGTTGATTTACTTTAAGTGTAAGCAACTGCAGCGTGTCGACGTGAAAGCATACCCGTGACCGAGCACAGAGAATTTTCCATTTTATTATTTATAAGAGTTGCTTTCGTTCTTCTTGGACGCCTGCCAAGCAAATCGAAATCTTCTGCTTCGACTTCGCCGTCACGTTGGCAGACAAAAGGGAACGTTTTGTTTTATTTCGTAAAATTATCTTCGTCGCTTGTATTAGCTAGCGGAAAATTGACTTGTTTAGCGTCTGTTAATGTTGCCTTTGGTTTCAGTTCGCATACAGTTAATGTAAACATGCTTATTGCGGTCGCCAATGTGTTAAGAATTCCAAATGGAGGAACGAATTCAGGATTCGAGCGCGGCCATTCTGGCGTCGCGAAACTAGGAGAAATTGCGAACAACGTCATCGAGAAATGCAATTATTCCGATATTTACGTTGACGTGTAACGAGCTACGGCATCTGTCGCAATTTTCTCGTTTCGACTGTCACGCGAGACACAATGATAACTTGATTGAGTTAATCCTCATTGTTATTGCGAAAAGAATATTTTAAGTTTCTTCTACGCGAATCGCCGTTGCACGAACCTTTTATTCAGTTTCCTTCGGTTCAGGAAATTTACTAGTAATTAGTCTAAGTGGAAGATATTCTAGATATCGGTACAAAAATTCCGTCGAAACACTCTGCGTTAGAGAGTAGCGAGTAAATTTTTCTGCATAGAATTTATAATTGTCGTTACTTGAAAGATACTCTACGGTTGGAAAGGTAATTCAATTTTTCGTGCAGATGGGAACCTTTTCTTGCCAGATTGCGTAATTGGCGCGATTTCGAGGACAAGGATCGTCGAGTGAAATTGAACGGTTGATATTCTCGCCATTGGACGCGCGGGCTCGTGACCAGAGTTCCCGATCGTTCGATGAATCGCAGCTTTGAGAATAAATTAAGGTCGAAGGAATTACCGTGCTTGCGAGTACCACTCTCGTCATTAAATTCGTAATTAGAGCGTCTCTGTCTGAGATCAAAGTGTCCTTAAATAATACTATGGTAATCCAGGGGTCAGCGGGAAAATTCGCCAACTTTCTTCTTATATAATGTATTATTTAACCCACAAATGGCATAACGTGTACATTTTAAAGTACTCTATTATTTAATGTTTTCCTCCTTCCTCTTAATATTATATATACTGCTTTCACTGTTTAATGGAGGTTTTTTTTTTTAAATTAATATTTAGTAGCAATTAGAGTTACGAATTGTACATTAATGCGGTTACGTCGTACTTCCGGTTACATCGAGGCTACCGACGAACACGTTACTTTTGTATTTATTAAACACCAAAGACAATTGGACGTACATATCGTAGCGTTTAATTTTGAAATAAAGAAGTTCCTCGCTAGTACTCTAACCTCGTTACACTTAATCTAAGGTTTGATCTATTTTGTTTCCACTCTTAATAGTTCGTACGTTTCATAACTTCTCCTCGTGCGTTCCTCGCATGCAGGAAAGTGAAATTTTTCTAGAACGTTAACAGCTATCCATTCTCTGAAACCTTCTTTAGGATAAAACGATGTTCTAAAAATTTACTAATCTCTGCATAGTTTTTCACGGGTTTCTTTAAAATACGAACGTTTCATCGACAACGTTTTCACGAACGACGTTTCACCGACATCGACCTTGACCGACCTTATGTGTTACTTGCATAAATTGTGTATATATATGGTGGCTCCGAAGTAAGTGAACCCACTTCGGTAGAGTATTCTATTCTGCTCTTCGTGAGAATCCGAGCCTGGGAATATATTTTTCTTTCAACAAATACAAATACTTGGGGGACATTGTTGTATAGGTTAACAAGATTCTACATTAATTAACAAATAATAAAAAGATTGGGGGACATTGTTGTATAGGTTAACAAGATTCTACATTAATTAACAAATAATAAAAAGAATCGTTGTAACAAAATTATTTTCCGCGATTTAAAACCGTCCTCTTATATCCCCAGAAAAAATTTAATCTCGATTAACAATAGTTCCTCCAAAAAAAAATGTACAAATACGAGGTACAATTTTATTGCGAGGAACTTATAAAAAAACTGACTTTCCACTTTTTTAGGTACAAATACCGAAGTAGCAATCTTCCGTGCGGACTGGACTATTCGTTGAACACGATTCAAAACACGTTCAAGCACGTGTAGCGGCGTTACATGCACCATTCACGCAAATGATTCTGGGGAGCGCGACTAAACTTTATGAGCCCGCGTTTTCCTTTCCGCGAGTTTACACAATCGGCTCCTGGTAGCTCTTTAATTAGCATCGTTCGAATAGTTACTTAAGACCGTTAGGATTTCTTTGGCTGCGACACAAAAGAGTCGATCGTTACGCGAACGTTATTCAATCGACAGAGATCCAATAAAGGAGCGCGAATGGCGGCTGGTTACTCAATGGCCGACCGGTTGCTTTCCCCGTGACGGAGAAAGATCGCTAGACGCGCGTTGGTCTCGTCGAATGGCCTCTGAACTTCGCGAAATGATCCCACGTCATCTTTCTGTCGGGTCGGTTACGATCAACCTCGACCAGGCGTGGAAAAACCAGCTCGAATCGAGTGCAAGTGGTTTTAGAAAGTCGTTCGCGCTCGAATCCGTGCCCGAAGCCAATGTCCTTCCGTTCGATGTATATACACGGTTATCGTGGCTTTCGAGTTTCAATCAAATCCTCAAACTTCCCTTTATCTATCGTTGGAGTTGTGCGGAATTACAATCGAATGACCACGGGAATTGTAATTGCAAACCGATCGAATTACATCCGTAATAGAATACGTCCCTGCTAAATCCAGCTTGCAATGTGTAAGAAAGGAAAAGAATAAGAGCAATTATATACTTAGATTATTATTAATCAGTAATAGAGTCATATTATAAGGCATATCATTGTTAAATGTTACTGAACAGTATTATCTGGTTCAAATTTTTTAATCGCAACGACAATACTTTCTTCACTATTACTCTTGATTAAGACGACCAGTCAATCCTGTTATCATCGAACCTTTTATTCTTAGAATAAAGGCGGTCGTTGCACAAAACATTCAATGCCACTTACTTTCTTAGCGCTTTCCCCAAGTATCTACTATTGAAACAAAAAGTATCAACTGCAGCAACTTTCGTGCTTTTAATGTGTCAATTATTGCAGCAATGTACAGTCCCGCCTCGATTATTTTCTCGCTCCGTACTTCCCACTGGTTTTTCAATACGTAGTAACAGAACGAATTATTTTCATCCCTTACTCGTTATTTGAATAACGTCCAACACGAATAACAGTGATTCAACGAGAAATCCTCTTTTCTAGATCCGCCGCTCTGTGTACCACACACGAGAGATGCCGGAGAAAAGAGTGTAGCAGGAATCGATTCATCCCTTCCGGTTTGTTACGCGATCCTGGATGCGGGCGTTATGATCTCGAAAGGACGAGCTCCTTTGTCGCCAGACAATGGATATCGATCCGAAAAATCAAACAAGAGCCCCATGGTCTTTAATCGAGAACCACCGTGGTTCGTTCGGTTACTCGATCCTTCTTTGTTCTTCGACACAATTGTCGCCTTTTGCTTCGTTATCCTTCGATGCTTTTCCTTTCGTCGTTGCGTTTGCTATTTCTAGAACGACACGAGTCCTGTACGTTTCCTAGAAGCTGACGAATACGTTTCCTCGTTGTACCTGCGGTTCGTAAGTCGAGAATTCTCGCAATCTCGTCCCGAATTAATAGTCAACGATGATCTCGTCGCGATTTCGGTATGCTAAACGCGTATTGTTGCACGCGATTCGGGTCAAGTCCGACCGTCGCTTTTACGAGCGTTCTTCAATGGCGTTCAACCGAATTATTTCGTTTTTCGAGTTCGCTTAACCCACTTGCCCGTCTGTCGTCAAAAGTCGATCGAATTCCGGCCATTTTTTCTCCTCGTTGACACAGAATCGAAAGAACGTAAATGCATAATTGACGAAGGGATCCGTATAACCACCACTGTATGAGAATATGTATTTTCGATTCGATAAAAATGAAGTTGTGTCTCGTTGCAAGGTCAACGATTCTTCCTATGTTTACACATAGAATCGTTTCTAAAGCTATTATTTTTTATAGCGTGTTATTAGATTTTTAATGTTTACGAGGACATTGTTTTTTGAAGAAGCAATGACAACGGCGAGTCGTGCTCAATAGCACGGATGTCTGCCATTCCCATCGTTAAAATTAAACGCGGCTTTCTGTTGAGACGGTACACTCGTTACTTAAGAAGAGGGACGGATGTCTGCGTTATTAAACTAAGTGTGCTTTTTCATGAGCAATGTGTACGAGTCGCGCTATTTAGGATAGACACAATGGTGCCTTCGTAACCGCTAGCGGTACCAACTTTTTCGTTGACACGTGCGTTCGTTTTGTCCAATTTCTTCCCGTTTCCGTTTCGCAATCGCTACGAATCGTTACTATTCGCGAAACGACGCCAGGGTTTTCCAATAAGAATCTATAGAACTTCGAATTGAAATACAATGAAGACTACAAAAGACCAATCAGGTGCTCGTCGTTTTATTTTCACGTGACACATTCGATGACATCTATTCTGATTTTTCAACGATGTTTGTCCCGAGATCGTTAACAGTTTGGAGTTTGTCAGAGTAAACAATGACCAGTCAACAGTAAACTTTTACACGTACATCGATTATAATTTTAAAATCTATAGTTTAAAACACGTTTCGTCATGCTGTTTTTCAGATATGGAGCAATCTGACCTGCGTGGACGACTTCTTGAACCGAGCCTTTCACAAATTGGGCCTCGTGGTAGGTCGACATCCCGGCTACTTCGTGGTCATTCCGATTCTATTGGCCTGCATTTGCTTCACCGGCTACCAGAGGATCCATTACGAGATCGATCCCGAGTACCTCTTCTCGCCGACCAATGGTCCAAGCAAAACGGAAAGGGCTATCGTCGAGCACTACTTCAAGGTCAATTACAGTCACCATTTCAGCATAGGTCGCATTACTAGGCCAGGTGGGTTTCGCTTTGTATCGAGGAGCTTAAGCGTCGAAACAATTTAACGCGTTAACTGCTACGACGGCCATTTAATTTTAATAGAATTTAATTTCAATTCTACTCAGCGTACGGATTTTCCCAAACTCTGGCCCGCATGACGGCATTGAGTAAACACGTAGGAGTTAATTCATCGGAATGAATTATTCGTGCGAAGAGAACTCGGAAAAACCTTTACCATTTTCTAATCTGAAGGTTGGTCACCGAGATACAAGAAGTTAAAGTTCATTGATGCGACTCCTACTACGCGCTATTTTTATCTCGGTCGACCGATCGTGTGGTCGTTCGCATACACTCACACACTCGAGGAAGGCTAGTTCATTAAGTTCACACGCACGAAGCTTTTGCGTCTCCTGATAATGGAACCTCGTAGTGCAAATACAAAAAAACTATTTGACGAGATAATAAGCTCATATAAACACGTGCTTTACTTGTCTCTGTCCACGAGGCACAGTAATTTTTGTACTCTGGTAACATGCAGCCTACTTCTTCGTGCGTTTTGTGGTTTCAAGTCGCGATAGGTTGTAGAAGAGCGACACACACAGTCTCAAGTTATCATTGGAACAATCGTATCGTTAACCTTCTGGCCCCTATAACGTTTCACGAATAATATTTGTCTACCGCGAGTGTTGAGTTACAGTTGCGTGGGAGAGATGAATGTGTATCGATAGTAGTAGCCCGGAGGAATGTTATCAAGTTCATTCCATTGAAAGATTAAGCTTCGTGTAAACACGGCCAAGGCATGTTGCTAAAGTTCAAGGAGAAAGTGCACGGAATTCACTGACAACGGCCTTAGTGGTACGCTTCCTTGTTTGCGTTATCTGCTATGTAATTTTGCACTGTTACGTGCTGCTACGAATTAACCTTAGTTATTAACGACACGACCGTGCAAACTTTCTCGTTTCATTGGGCAGTTATTAATTAACCCTTGACTGAACACTATACAATGTCTGCTGTGCGTCTGTTTGATACCTTCCACGCTGTTATGCTACGATAAATCGACGCACAATGTTGATGGTTGAAATTCAGATAATCAATTTATCAATGCTCCAAGCATTAACATAATTAATTGCTAATAAAATGAAATAAACGAAGGACATATTGCTTGCAACATATTAATGAGGAAATTTTCTATAGAAACGTTAGAAACTTTTGCATACATCCAATAATGATCGATTGTAGTTTACGAATTAATTTACTGGCATTGAAAATTCGAGTCGAAACTACAAATATTTTTGGTCAGCATTTTGAACGATTTTCAGTGGTTTTTTCTGCTTGTTCCAGGTCGATTCGGTCACTTGATTATAACGTCGAAGGATGGAGACGAGAATTTGTTGAGGACAGCTGTCTTCGACGAGTTGGTCCAATTAGACGAAGTGATTAGAAACGTGAAAGCAACGTACGAGGGTGAGGTGTTCACCTACGAACAAATCTGCGCCAGATGGCTGGACCAATGCTTTTCGAACGAAGTTCTAGAACTTACCGACATCATCGGGTAAGTATTGGCATACATTCTGTCGAATTTACGAATGTTATTACGTCGTCCTAAAAAATTCGTATGGTTTCGATACTATCCCAATCGCTTTAACCGTTTAATTAGCAGCCACTACGTTCGATAACCTCCATCCGTTTTTGTAAACATTTGTTTCTTTTAATGAAATTCATTTTAAATCGCTTTCTACATGGTGGATTATTATTAATTTCTTTTAATGGAAAAATGACGTTACTCCTTCGTCTGCTGCAACGAACAGTCAATCGAGTTCTCTGCTGTCCAAAATTTATGAAATGTACCATACGCCTGTTTTCCAGAGAATTATTTGATTATTGCGTGAAAAATCGTTACGTCCATGGCTCATATAATTAGTCGGTAGCATTTTTCAGATCTGTGGAGAGGCGGGAACTGAATCTGACGTTCCCGATGACGTTTCACCCAGACACCTGGGTGTTTCATTTCCTACCAGTCTATTTCGGTGGGACCGTGATCAACGAGGACCGAGTTGTAGAGTCTGCGCCGTCGGTGCAACTCGCGTACTTCCTTACAGCTGAAAACCCCCGTCAAAATGCAATGTAAGATGAAAGAAAAATATCCCTTTGTTATCAAATTTTCAGAGTTACAGATATTTTATTAGAATTGAAGTCCTGTATACTGTAACAGTTAATATCGTAGACACGTTGTACACGAAAAGACTAGCAGAAAAAGCTATAAAAAAACTTGAATCTGTATTTCGAAACAGTGGGGCGGCTTGGGAAGAAGCGTTCCTCGAGGCTGTTAGAAAAGTCGAGGAGGAAGGTGTCTTCAAGCACATCGCCACAGCGAGGTTCGCCTCCAGGACCCTCGAGCTGGAGTTGGAGGAGAACACGAAGACCATCGTACCCTATTTCTCGAGCACGTTCATCCTCATGGCTCTCTTTTCCGTGGTGACGTGTATGATGACCGATTGGGTTCGCAGCAAACCTTGGCTGGGACTACTCGGAAACGTTTCCGCGGCCATGGCCACCGTCGCAGCCTTTGGCCTCTGCATCTACTTGGGCGTTGACTTCATTGGTCTCAATTTGGCTGCGCCGTTCCTTATGATAGGTGAGACAGAAACTAAACACAGCGATATGCCATTGGAAATTGACCGTTTCCTGTTCCCGTTTGTTCCGGGGGGCCAACTATGTTTATGTTTTTAAGCCTACCATGAAAGACAGAGACCCTCTTCGACTTTGGCCAGACCTAACTTGTTTTGTACCGTAAGGACACAATTGTGTTGACTATAACGAATTACTTCGATGTTCGTTTCAACGCGTATCGATTATTTACACAAAGAACACCTTTGTTCTGTTAACAGCGACGGACTAGATGCATACATTTTGTTGCAAATGGCTTCTTTGCATCGCTGAGTACCATTCTATACCCTGGCTCTTCAATTGTCGATTGTTCCTATGACACAGAGCGGTCCGATCAGTATTCTTCGAGCGTAGATTCGCCGACAGGTGTCTCCTAAGGACTTTTAATAGCGGTGCATTGCACGACTCTCATTTCCATCGAATTCCACGCGAGGGGTATCGTACTTGTGCACACGCGTTTTCTTTCTTCCACAACGCGGTTCGATTCTACGTAAACAAATTCCGCGACGTAGCGGTTCACGTAATACATGGGGCACGTGCTCGAGGTTCTCATACCGGTAATCATCTCCAATATCAGGGGAACGTATCAAATTTTGTATAACGGTTGTCCTGCTTTTTTATTTATTTCTATAGACGGAAAAATCCCGTTGATTAATGTTTAATTAGCGATACACGGTGAACGTTAGTTTCCAAAGTATTATATATGTATATCATAATTATCGTCATTGGAGTCACCGTCGCGTCGGAGTCGAAAGAGGCTCCTTTATGATAGATAGGCATCGAAAAATGCGAGTCGCGTCGTTGACAATTTGCATATTTTCCGATAATTTGAAAGTTACCAGTGGGTTTTTCTTCCCGCGAGATGAATAATGAAAATTGTTACATGAATTCTATTGAAACCGAGCACGATCGAACGTCTGCCGAATACATTTCGCATGTCCCTGCGGTGGCTATTATTCTTCGAACACAGTTTGAATATTCGCAGCTTCATTAAGTATCTCTCATTCTTTCTCGAGTTATTGAAAAAGCTCCAATAATTTAACTCTCAAGAATCCATAGACTGCGTGAAATCCGGGCGGCAGAGTCGAACAAAATGTAATTTGATTGTAACCGTGATTCTGTAAAGTGTGTAAAAACTGTGCAATTATCATGTAATCGGATTCTATTTCGTGCAACTTTGTAAACCGCTTTGTGGCTCGCGATACGGTTCCGTCGAAAGCGCCGGGCCGTGGAAAAAAAGAAGATGGAGGGTACGGATTTTGCAACGATCCGGTCGAACGTGCACGAGTGCAATCGTCGTCGGCAATCAAGCGACTTTGATCGGTGCTTTGACGCAGGCTGGCATGACGAGGAAAGGGAAAAGTCGCGCAAGGATACTTCCGCTTTTCACGCAAATCACTGTTCGTGATCCCAGGACGTTCGTTCGATGATCCGTTCGTGGTCGGTCGATCGAGTCGAAGGAGGCACGAAAAACGAATGTTGCAAGGATTTCGTCAACGAGAATTGCGTCCCGTGACTGATTTCACCGACACGCACGGTCGTTGATTAAACTCGATATAAGAACGAATTAATTGTACGGATTGTTACGTCATTTTTACAAATACAACGATTGTTAATGTCTCGGAAATTAATTAACCGCCATATTGTTTAGGAGGAAATCATTCGAGATATCGTCCCCTATAAAATATTTAAACTACAGGAAAATTCACCTTTCTGTCAAGCTCGCCAACGATTAGTTTGATTCGCCAAAAAATGGAAAAGTTTCGCTCGGAAGGAAAGCTTGTACATTTAGGGTGGATTATCGGCAAGCGGGAGTACGCGTTGGAGAAAAATGAGCGATCGTGTCGGTCGAGGAGCGATTTGTCATCGTCTCTTATTACAAAAACGACTGCGGTGCCATTATCGCGATAACGAGACGGCAGTTAGAGAGCGCAGAGTGAATCAGAATGGATGTTTTATTCGTGATTCACCCCGTCGTTCATCCGTCTACGTTTCGACGGCAATTTATAGCTACTAATAAATGCAAGAAGTCGTTTATTCAATGCCCGGCAAGGACGTATGTTATCTTCACGGGCCGGAAACCTTTCTCGCATCGCTGATGTCGAATTAAATTGTCTCGATAATTACCACTGTTCGCTAACACGTTAAATTCGTGTTCTACGAGAATCGTTTTCTTTTTAGACAATTCCATGGTACTCGATTTAAAATTTATTCTAGTACTTATTTTTGGAACCTTGTCGAATTTTTCACCTCACCGTGAGGGTTCATTCTTTTAACTCCAGAGTGATCGAAACGATTTAAGCAAATAAAATTGAGCAAAGATGATTTGTTGGCAGGAATCGGAATCGACGATACGTTCGTGATGTTGGCAGCTTGGAGACGGACCAGCATCATGAAACCGGTACCTGAAAGGATGGCGGCGACTCTCAGCGAGGCTGCTGTCTCGATTACGATCACCTCGTTGACCGATATGATATCGTTTTTCATCGGGATCCTCTCGCCTTTCCCATCGGTTCAGATCTTCTGCATCTATTCGGGTGAGTTTCCGGAGCCTCGCCAGACAGTTGGAAATTCATCTAAAAATACTCAATTAGCTGGAAAGCCTTTTCTATGTACTTTTAGTTTCACCGTTTGAATTTTTCCTATTCCATTTTTAATTAATTTACTACACAATATAGAATTAGTCCAATCGTTTTAGACTTTTTTCTTTACTTTTCCAACGGTTCCGATTATGCAAATTCAAAGAATTTTCTTTGTTTAATCAGGATTCGCGGTGGTTTTCACTTTTCTCTTCCATCTGACGTTCTTCACCGGTTGCGTGGCCATCAGTGGCTACTGCGAGCAAAGGAATCTTCACAGCATCGTGTGCTGTAAGGTCCAGCCGCTCTCCAAATCCAGTAAGTACATATCTTACGTTTTTATTAACACATCGCCACTTCAATTAATCCTCAAGCTATATGTATAGTTTACAATTGCCTAGAAATAAAGTGTCGATCATGTCGGCGATTCGAGAGGTTCCTCTACGATGTTATTCACAGTTTTAGAAATTAAGAATAATTTTGTTCAGTGCCCAGAAACGATGTTTAGCTAGTGCAAAAGGAAAGAGTCACGATTAAGTGCAAATAGATTTGGATAGAGGTAACGACGATAAAAAAAGTATTGGAAATTAGCCTGGAAGTTGTTACATGCGCGTTCCTTGATTGCGTAATAATATTCAGGAATTTTTGCTGCCGGTAAAAGTAAGAGTCCGGCAATCTGGGGGGGTCATTTCTGTGGATTACTGCATCCGATGTAATCATCGTGTTTACCTGTACACGTACGCATAACGACGTTCACACAGGCGGAAAGGAACAGCGAGCATTAAAAGGCCGAAGAAGACGTTACCCGGAATACTTTCACGGGCTCCACTGCCTCGAACGTATCATTCGTGGCGTTTTTATTTGAACTTTCATTTATTCTCCGTGGCACGATACTTTCTACATTAAACGACTGTATACAGTGACTCACGAAAGTATTCGAACGTTCTCGAACCGAATGTTTCATCCTTTAAAAACCGATGTCGCGTGTTGTGATTCCGAAACTACTTTTATTATCCTATACAAGCGCCAATATTTAGTTCAGAGGGGCATTCGTTGGTATAAACAATATAAAGTAAAGATAAATGGACAGCGATTGGCCACACAAGTGGCGAATATTACATTCTAATTTACTAAAGAAACTCTGACAATAGAAGAGTTAGAAAAATCTTTCCTACGAAGAAACATAGGAATTGATCAGGCGTTCGAGCAAAAAGTTAACAAATTATCGATCAAAGAAACTACAATTTCTCCATAGGTGTACGCATTAAAATTTTTTCCAAGCATTCTTCCTGATCCTGACGGAAGGAAAACTTGCAAATATTGATCGTCCACGCATAAATAAATCGCTGGATCTGGATCGTCATGCATCGTCGAGTATAAACTTTCTCCGGCTACGGTATCGTCACCAAACATGTTTCTTCGTCGTGATTCGATTAAAAGAAAAAAAAAACAAGATTTAAGATCTGTGCAGGTATACGGTGTTACGTCAGAAAAGCGTGGTTACGTTCGACCGTCGTTAATTCGTTAGATCACAACGTATTACGTAACGGAGACGCTTTCTCCAAGCTTCGGACATTGTCAACGATCCACCGACGCTGTTAACAGAATTTGAAAAGCTGTTAGCGAGTAGATTTAACGCCTGTATAAATTTATTTATAGAAAAATCGTATGTCATCGAGCCTAAGTATGCTACTAGTACACAACGTGCGTCCTAATGAAATTAACATTGCCATTTGGCGCGTGACATTGCATGAACGATTGCTAGATATTTTTGTCCTCGCCGAAAGATGATTTCATCGATTTTTTTCGTGGTGTGCTTTCAGTTTCGAAGTACAACCTAACCCAGACGGTGATCGGTGATATTTTTATTTTTCAGCGCATCGATCTTGGCTGTACAAAGCTCTGTGCACCGGAGGAGTGGACCCCGATGATCCATACAATCCGATCGATAACCCGGAACATGGCTGCATGAGTTGGTTCCGCGATTACCTGGCCGTCGCGCTGAACTGCCGACCGATCAAGGTCGTGATCATTCTAATATTCGCTTGCTACCTGGCCGGTGCCCTCTACGGATTGACGACTCTTCAGGAAGGCTTGGATCGTCGCAAGCTCTCCAAGAACGATTCTTATTCCATTGTCTTTTACGACCGACAGGACTATTACTTCCGGGAATTTCCTTACCGGATACAGGTTGGTATCGTTGCTAGAACACGATGAGACTCGTAGAGCCTTTCCTCGGTTCCGTAAGCACGTGGTTATTTAGCTTGTGCGAGCAAAAAGTAACGTGTTTGATCAATAAGCGGCTGGAGTAGATTTAGAGCCACACCTGTTCGTCCGGTGCAAACTTTATGCTGTGTTCCCGGATTCGTGGAACAGAGAAAGCCTTTCGTCTCGTTAGGCGTTCGAGCAGGAATCGAGAGGGCAGCCTCCGGAGAACGAGTTACGCTTTGTCGTGACGTATGATCCGACACTCTCAATTATGTCACGTTTGCTACGTTCGATATATCCGCGCCAACAACTTTCTCCGGGCGCCGCGGCTACAGGTGGCGCGGAATCGAGGAAAAGTGACGGGGCTGGTTGCATCAGATCGGCACTTTCGCGATATTTGTGCCACCGATCTTCTCGAACTTGCTCGGACGTCCGAGTACCGTTAAGAGCATCGCATTCCTTGACTAGAGTTCAGTTAGATGAACTCGTTCGACGCCCGGATGAGATGGTCGTTCTAGGTCGCTTGCGGTTCTCGAATCAAATTAATATCAGACGTTATCGCTATATGTTAACCCTCCACGAAGATCATAACAAGACAAAATTACCTGAACACCTTTAATTAGAAGCGATCCGGCTCCTACTTTAGACCATCTGTCATTCAACCGTTAGTTTACGAAGCTTAAACTCGGATAACACGGACAGAAAACAAGAGGACGGCGTACGTCCCCGGAGAACGTTTTCCTTAGATCGTTGTCACGTAGAAAGGAGGGATAGTCCGCCAGAAAACGGCTGTGTCACGTTTCTCTATTGTATATTCCAGGTGGTGGTGAGCGGCGAGTACGACTACAGCGACCCGGTTATCCAGCAACAAATGGAGGACCTGACGAGGTCCCTGGAGGCCAGTAAGTACATTAGCGGCGGCCAGTTCTACACGGAGAGCTGGCTACGAAATATTGTCGGGCTCGTGAACGACACCACGGACGAGAAGAGCTTCATATCGATGCTGAAAGAAAGCTGGCTGCAGCCGAACAGCGTATTCTCGTTGGACGTGAAATTGGACGAGGCGGAGGAGCACATCGTGGCCAGCAGATTCGTGATCCAGGCGGTGAACGTGACCGGTACCAATCAAGAGAAGGACATGGTGAAAGAGTTGCGTCGCATCTGCGCGGATTCTCCCTTGAACGCCAGTGTTTTCCATCCGTATTTCGTGTTCTTCGATCAGTTCGAGCTGGTGAAGCCGACCAGCATCCAGTGCATGGTGTTCGGCGCGTTGATAATGATGCTGATCAGCTTCATCTTCATACCGAACGTGTTGTGCTGTCTCTGGGTAGCGTTCTGCATCATCTCCATTGAGCTGGGGGTCGCTGGATACATGGCCCTTTGGGACGTCAACCTGGACAGCATATCCATGATCAATTTGATCATGTGCATAGGTTTCAGCGTCGACTTCACCGCCCACATTTGCTACGCGTACATGAGTTCCAAACAGAAAACGCCGGACGAGAAGGTCAAAGAAAGTCTTTACAGTCTCGGACTGCCGATAGTCCAGGGCGCCACTTCGACGATTCTAGGCCTGGTCGCTCTGCTCTTAGCTGGCACCTACATCTTCATGGTATTTTTCAAGATGGTCTTCCTAGTAATCTTCATAGGAGCCATGCACGGCATGTTTCTACTGCCCGTTCTGCTGTCTCTGTTCGGCCCTTCCTCCTCGGAGGTCGACGAAACGGAGAAGGCGCAACAGAGGAAGCTGGGGATGGAAGCTAACGACATGGCCAGCAAACTCCAGCAGCCGTACGTGATTCCACATCCGAGTCTCGCCTACTATCATCCCACAGGAGCCACGAAGAGTCTCCAAGGGAGTCCAGCGACCAGCTTGGCCGCATTCGAGGAAAGGGATCCCGGTCTGGGAACCAGCGAGGACAGCAACTCGACGGAGAGTGGCTCCTCGCAGAGCAGACCGCGCGAGGGCCAGTTGGAGCAAGAGAACCAGAGGCGTCACGACGTCTGGAGAAGATCCATCGGGGTTCTTTACGGTATGTCGCAGTTCCAGACAGCCGCTCAGCCAGCCTCGCCGCCTCCGGACTACGCTGGAGCGTTGCAGGAGCTTCAGGCCGATCAGGAACGTCGGGCAGTCAGGACGGTGCCCTTCGTGGGCCCGTATCCCGCCCACCGGCCAGCCAATCAGCTCCAAAGAGACCACAGGAGAAGTAGGTCTTATCATAATATCCATCACTCGTCAAGGTACTTGACCGATCCACGGTATCCTTAAGGAATTTGGGATTCAAACTCACCGGGCTCCGCGTCGAATTCACGGAAGCGGGTTCAAGGAACCCCAGGACTGTGAACCGATCGCCGATCGAGGAACGAACCGTGGATCTGTGAGTCGGTCGATCGGGAAAAAAGACTTGTTTTCAAAGTGCGCGTCAGATACGTTTTTTTTTTTTTGGATAGATTTTTTTAACGTAGGACGTTAAGCTATTATGGACGAGTACGAGAGAGCAACGAGTGTCTCATCATGGCGCGTTACTGCGGGCAGCTACGAAGAATGTCCTTCGGGCAACAATAAGATCGTATTTTTATGGCAGCGTTCCGATCGTCGTGCTTGAATTTCTTCCGGAGGCATTCTCGCCCGACTCTTCAGTATACATTTTCGGTATACAGAATTCGAATCAGTTTTTCGTTGTTCACAAATCGAGCCGCCGAAAGCCGGAAGTGGCGTAAGTCAAGAAAGGTTTATTTCTGGACGAATTGGAAGTTCTGTAAAATATTGCATTTCTTCTTTTGTAAATTACCGTTAAGTTTTAATTTAAAATAATAATACCATCCTCGAACGAAGGTACATTATCATTGTATTCAATATTCTTTTGATTTACATCATTTTTACTTTCAACGGCCCGAACGATAAGCGTGTGACTTATGAGGAACATCGTCGACAGTCGTCACTCGGGTGATGTTCTTTGTTAGAACGTAGCCTTATTCGTTTAGTTACGAATTTCTTCATCCCTTCTTCGTCTCTGTTAACTCCTTCTAGGACTCATCTCACGTATCCAACTACCTTTAATATATTTTTGTCTTCCGAAGTCGTCTCTGCGAATCGTTGGCTCTTATAGATATTTATATAATTTATAAAGAGAGACTTCGACGATTTACGAAGGGGCATGGGAACCTGGTTTGACTAGGAACTGTTTTCGACAAAATTTTTCTATTTGATGCACGGACAGTGTTTGTGTTATCATAAACAAAACTTAAACTGAACTGTGAGGCGTCATTGGAGCGAAAAGGGTTAAATAGTTGACCATTCCCTAATACAATGTTAGCACTAGATCGTAAATATAATTACACTGAGTGTGCATGATACGTCCATTTACCATTGAACTCGTCGCCCGATTAATCTATGGTTTCCTTTCTTTTTTTTTTAAATTTATACGAGTAAACACTATTATCGTTAGGTTTGCGCGAGAAAATGGCAGGAGTTATCCGCGCACGAGTGAACGAAGAATCGCGAAAGACGGTTCGTTTCAATTTTAATGGTTCCTCGCGATTGTTCGATGTTTGCGATCTACGGATCCGAGAATCATGGAACTTTTTACGTAGTGTTTAAGGAACTGTTTGCAACGAACGACAAACCTGCTCAATAGAAATCAAACCAAAACGCGCAATGGAGAAGCGAACCCTTCTCATTTTGACCTACGTTTTAACCCTCGACCTAAACGTATCTTCGCAAATTTGAAAATTTAACGAACAAATAATAAATGTTTTCGACCCGTCTTCAAACTTCAGAAAATGCCCCAATGAATTAAAAGTAAAGAAAAATAATTTATAACGCATTTTTACATTCTTACATTGTACATCCAAATATATGTCGATTTATCGTTGAATCGTTGGGAGAGGAAAAATTGAAGTCAGGAAAATGTTTATTGTTCGCTTGTTAAAAATAAAAAATGGTGCGTGTCTTACTGAGAAAATGAACGTGATTTCGAATAAAATAGGCGACGCGAAGGTACAAAGCGTGGGTGAAGTCGATTGAGAGTGCTCGCGGCTGTGGATGAGGGCCTCTAAGATGAATTTTATCGGATACGAAATTTCTTTTGGGCCCCTTCCTTTCTCTATTAGTCATACTTTTTTTTATCGTGAATGCTAATCGTCATACAATGTATGCAAATAGTTTTTGAGATCCCAGGTACACACCAGCGTTGTTTGCATGGCTCTCTTACGAACTCTGATGTGGATGAGCGAATGAATTTACTAGGAGTTCTGGAAAACGGCAGGACTCTTTCTGAAAATAGCAACGGTCGAGTATTCATGTTTATGAATGACAGAGTGCATTGTTTATCGCGGACTGGCAGCTGCCATTGGACAAATTCTTGTAAGCGAAATATATTCTGGTAATGATTTCACGAGTAATGTTTTCCAAGATTTCCCAATTCCTTTCGCTACCAAAAAATGTGGAACACAGCTTTCCATAAAATACTGCTTTAAACTCTTGCTTTTCAGCTTATGGACCTTCTACCCTAATTTAGTAAAACTTGAATGTAACAGAGAGTGTAAACAACTATTTTAGAGATTGGTATTGGTAAGGTAACAGCATGGAACAGAACCTGGTGGATCCGAAGTTGCTGGCTGTCGGTGTTATCCCATTAGAAAGGAAACTTTTCTGTCAAACAATCTGATAAGCTTGTTCGATAGTGAAAGATCGAATCATCTACATAGTGTACGATTACAGGGGTACAGGATTGACCTAATATTTTATGGGGTTTTGCGTATGCAACGAAACTGTGTTACCGACTCAAAACTACAGGACTGGACTTAGCGTCCTCTACTCACGAACAGCGTTCCGCTCAAGAACTTTTAAAATGTGTTGAAACGTTGGAACGTGGTAGAATGTGGTGTACGTGTGAATTCTTTGGAGTGGAATTTAATGAAGACAAGCTTTTACTACGCTTAATATCTGTTTCCCAGACTCGGCGGATCAGATTTCTCTCAGAAAATATATTTAAGGAGGTACGGAGTTTGATATTTTCTTCACCCTAAACCTGCATTTCGGGTTGAGATTTTCGCGGCGTTTCTTTTAACTTATATGCTCTTCTTGCAACATTTTCTTGAATCGTTCCGTAGAAATGAGCTTACAAATAAGAATTGCGCCCCAATTTTCCACGGATACGATCGCACCCAAGTTGCATTCTGATTTCCTGTAAAGAAAAAGAGAAAGAAACTCCGTGGAAATACCGACTCGGAAGCCGGTCCGCCATTTTTCGACTATTGCTTTTTCCGTTCCGCGTAACTCGGCTCCTTTCAAGGGTTTTTTCCAAGCCAGAAATTACTTTGGGATTTCAGCGAGCGTGAAAGACCGCGAGAAACGTCTCGCGACATCCTTGTACACGTTTCCATCGGGATTCTTCCGGAATGTCAATATTTTTCAGACCCTCGTAGCCCCTCAAAATTCTTAAGACTCCGGAGACTTTCGGAAGTTGGAGGACTCTCTGCGACAGAGCGTCGAACTTCATCATCGAGGAAGACCTTCCCAGATACGAGCTAAGAGAATCTTAAAAGTCCAAGTTCCGGAGGAACTCACGCTTCCCGAAGGCAGTAAAATTTCAAGCAGTCTATCAATCCACCAACTTGCCAGTTCCCGGTCTTCGACCCGTCTTCAATTGGGAGGACAGAGATAGCGTTTGCAGAAGCACCAGCAGTCGAAAGGAATTGAATGCTTTTATCGTGTTTCGACACAGAAGTACTTTAAACGTTTTATCTCGTCCCCCTCTCCCCGTGATAAGTCCTCGAGCTATCGAATGCAGCGCTGGAACGACGGAGCAATTTGTTGTCAGAGAAAACAGTTTGTGACCGGTTGAAAACAGAAACCTTGCTGAAAAAGCTCCATTGTTGAAGAGCCCGATGTTATTTTCCTCTCTTCCTAAAGCTGCGTTAACATATTGCAGTTTGTATAACCGCGGTAAGAGCAGTCATGTTGGAAAATATAAATGAAACTTCCTCTAAGAAATTCTTTTAAAAAGATTCGCCTCTCTTTCATGCTAAATATGTGATCTTTACTTTTTCAAACTACAAATTACACTGTTCTACAAATTCAATTTTTTTTTCTGTTTTTCAATATCCACTAGGTGATTCTTGTAGAGCTTTGTACCCTAAACACGAATCTGAAAATGGAATTGCTGTATCACCTTCAGTTTTCGAAAAACACGAGTTTTTGTGAAAACGTACAATTTTGGGCAAAAGCGAGGTATTACGCGAAAATTAAAAACATCAGACAGTTCCAATTAATCTTAAAAGATAGAGGAGAGATTCCTGAATATGCTAACATCGATAGTTATAATATTTTGTACTTTTGAACGGTTGTAAATGATCGCCAAAGTTTGAAAAAGTGTCGAAGTACATACTTTATACACAATACTTTTGCATATTTACGAAAAGTTGTTTACCTGACACGAAATCTATACACAGGATCTGATTCTGCAGACATTTTTGAAGAAGAAACTGACCAACAGAAGTGTAAAAGCTGTTCTCAATTGTCACAGGTCGAGAAAATGTGTATTTGCATCGCGTGCACGACGTTTGACCGCCACGCGGCCATCGCTTGCTTATCTCGGCGCGGCAGTGCCGTAGCTACCTACAATCGAAACTGGTATAATGGTGCAATAGGGTATGCACTCTGTATATAGTACATATGTTTGATTTTTTTTTTGTAACTTTTATTGCTTAATATATTTGTATACTCTAGGATACTAATCACTGAATTATATTTTCAAAATCCATGTAAACTTATCAATGGAATCACTCGAACATGTACGCTTTTCTAAGAAAGATCTGGAGTAAATCCTTGCTATTCACACTTCGCTCTTAGGAATATTATTCCTATTCTGTGAGGCAACCCAACAATAAAATGTTGTTTATTTTTTTACGGCTTTATATTTAAAAAACCATTCATATATATACAATGAACATTGAAATTGTTTAGTAATGGAAATGATCGAGAAATGTTTTGTACAAATCCACAAACAGATTAAAAAATAAAAAATGATAAACATATACAGGAATTAGGAGCCTAAGATATTATCGGTGTCGCATCCATTATGCGTAGCTACGGCACTGCCGAGCCGAGGTAGGCTAGCGATGGCCGCGTGGCGGTAAAACGCCGTGCACGCGTTGCCAATACACATTTTTTCGACCTGTGACAATTGAGAACGGATTCTATACTTCTGTTGAACAGTTTCTTCTTCAGAAATGTCTGCAGAATCAGATCCTGTGTATAGATTTCGTGTCAGGTAAACAACTTTTCGTAAATATGCAAAAGTATTGTGTATAAAGTATGTACTTCGACACTTTTTCAAACTTTGGCGATCATTTACAACCGTTCAAAAGCACAAAATATTATAACTATCGATGTTAGCATATTCAGGAATCTCTCCTCTATCTTTTAAGATTAATTGGAACTATCTGATGTTTTTAATTTTCGCGTAATACCTCGCTTTTGCCCAAAATTGTACGTTTTCACAAAAACTCGTGTTTTTCGAAAACTGAGGGTAATACAGCAATTCCGTTTCCAGATTCGTGTTTAGGGTACGAAGCTCTACAAGAATCACCTAGTGGGTACGGAAAAACAAAATTCGTGTTGAACACTGTTATTTTTATCCGTAATTTTATTGAAATTCTACTTGCAGAGTCAGTCAAAGTGTGTACTAATCCCTAGTTTTGGATGTTGCGAGGAATGTTACAAACTGTTAAGCGAAGAAGCTTGAAGAGTCGGGGAAAAGAAGTGTTTGACATTCCCTGCAACTTGGGATCGGTTCGATACGTTGAAAAGCATAGTAATGAAGTCAGCATAGTCAGTTTGTTGGAAAAAAATTTTGAAATAAGGTAAAAATTCTCTTCTACCTTGATCCAGGATTGTATAATCCGGGTAATGTTAAAAATAGTTCGCAGATATACGCTCCCGTTCATAACTCGTGAAAATTACATTATAAAAACTTCCATTGCGGGTCGCGGATTTTACTAAAATGTTTTGTTTCGCGAGTGTACCAGTCTCGTTCAAATTAATTAAAAAACGCGAGTGGTATAGATTCAACAACTTTCCTCAAAACTTTTCTCTATATATAAACGAAGGTACATCGCCTGTATCGATCGAAATTATTTTCGGGGCCTAGGCAGATTCTATCACGGCGACTATGTTGCAATTTTTAGCCGGGTTATCGAAGGGTTAATCTTCTCGGGCCACGAAACATGCCTGGGAGATGGTATATTTATAACGGCAAAGCAAACTTTGATTAGACCCTGTTGGTCGGATATCCGCGTCTAAATTCGTGTCCTGCAAACCGTTGATCGGGCAAATTGATCTGCCTTCACCTGGAGGATGAATTCCTATTGGCGGTTGTACCTCCTGATATCACTGAATGAACATCATTCTACGGCGAACCAACACAACCTGACAACGGGACGCAAACGTCAACAACGTTATTGGACATGGGACGTCCAATCAAACCTGTATTCATGGAACAGCAATATGTTGTCGACGTCTGCGTCCGCAGCATTCAACCACGGTTCAAGAAATTGTCAGTTTTTATACCGGAATATTGTGCTCGAATTTATTCGGTTTTACTTTAATCCATTGACTTCGAGCCGGTTCCAATCTACTGTCAATTTCTGAACATTATCGCTCTTACACAGGGTGTTCGGCCACCCCTGGGAACAATTTTAATGGGAGATTCTAGAGGCCAAAATAAAACAAAAATCAAGAATATCAATTTCTTAACTGAGGCTTCGTTAAAAAATTATTAAAAAATTTCAAATCATTCTGAAAAAATTATTTGCAATTGTGGGAGTCAAATACAATCATTTTTGGTGAATAGATATACCCCCGAAATCCCACGCACCTTCTAGAAAAAAATTCAAGAAGGTGTGAAATTTTTCGACAAAATTGGAAAATTTGACATCGTTCTAAAAAAATTATTTTTGGTTGCTGGGGTCAATTATAATCATTTTTTATCAATAGACATACCCCCGAAATCCTACCTACTTTTGAGAAAAAAATTCTTTACCGAAAATATAATCTGAGACCTGAAATGGTTCCTCAAAAATGTGAATCTTTGAAACATTATCACTACTGAACGGATTGGACGATTTTAATGTTTTAAAAGGCAAACAACGCGTATTTTGGTGAAGGATATGTGGAAATTCCAAAAATATTCGAAACGTTGCTCCTTTACCCCGAAAACTGACAAAAACCTCATAAAAATGATCCAATTTTTAAAGAGCCATAACTCCTACAATAGTGAATATATGTCATTGAAATATTTTTCTGAGGTAGAGCTCATAGCTATCTACAAAAATTAAAAATGAAAAACGAATTTTTAAGAAA